AATATGATAAAATCTCAAAGATAACTGAGTTATTGAACTTTTTCTGGTTTGGTCTATGCTTGCCATTAATTTTCTCTAGCTAAAATTATATGTTGACGTCTGTTTGCACCCAAGTAACATTGAAAGTTTTATCGAGGTTTTATATTATTCTACTAGTCATGATCTACAGAACCCTCATAAAACCAAAATTGTTACTTGGGCAGCGACGATTGCTGGAACACAGCAAAAAAAATAACAAATAAGAAGCATGCATTCCTAGCTCATCGCACCAACGGATTCAATTAAGCCAAAAAGTTTCTCAAAGACTAACAAAATGTGGTTTCCTCAGCTTTTTGCACATTTAAGCAGGCCATCAGAACAGCCGTACTCAGTTAGAAGAAGAGCGCATGCAATTGAAAACTGAGAGAAGTTGGAATTTCACTTTTCTCTTTTTCTGCTCTGACGTGGATCCATCCTTTTCGAAAGACAAAATTTCGAAAGACAAAAGGTTGAAACACAAAGGGTTGAAAAATAAAAGGTCGAAGGACAAAAGGTCGAAAGACAAAAGGTTGAAGGACAAAAGGTTGAAAGACAAAAGGTTGAAAGACAAAAGGTCGAAAGACAAAAGGTCGAAAGAGAAAAAGGTTGAAAGACAAAAGGTCGAAAGACAAAAGGTCGAAAAACAAAAGGTCGAAATACAAAAGGACGATTGACAAAAGGTCGAAAGACAAAAGGTCAAAAGACAAAAGGTCGAAAGACAAAAGGTCGAAAGACAAAAGGTCGAAAGACAAAAGGTCGAAAGACAAAAGGTCGAAAGACAAAAGGTCGAAAGACAAAAGGTCGAATGACAAAAGGTCGAAAGACAAAAGATCTAAAGACAAAAGGTCGAAAGACAAAAGGTCGAAAGACAAAAGGTCGAAAGACAAAAGGTCGAAAGACAAAAGGTCGAAAGACAAAAGGTCGAAAGACAAAAGGTCGAAAGACAAAAGGTCGAAAGACAAAAGGTCGAAAGACAAAAGGTCGAACGACAAAAGGTCGAAAGACAAAAGGTCGAAAGACAAAAGATCGAAAGACAAAAGGTCGAAAGACAAAAGGTCGAAAGAAAAAAGGTCGGAAGACAAAAGGTCGGAAGACAAAAGGTCGAAAGAAAAAAGGTCGAAAGACAAAAGACCGAAAGACAAAAGGTCGAAAGACAAAAGGTTGAAAGACAAAAGGTCGAAAGACAAAAGGTCGAAAGACAAAAGGTCGAAAGACAAAAGATCGACAGACAAAAGGTCCAACGACAAAAGGTCCAAAGACAAAAGGTCCAAAGACAAAAGGTCCAAAGACAAAAGGTCCAAAGACAAAAGGTCCAAAGACAAAAGGTCGAAAGACAAAAGGTCCAAAGACAAAAGGTCCAAAGACAAAAGGTCCAAAGGCAAAAGGTCGAAAGACAAAAGGTCGAAAGACAAAAGGTCGACAGACAAAAGGTCGAAAGACAAAAGGTCGAAAGACAAAAGGTCGAAAGACAAAAGGTTGAAAGACAAAAGGTCGAAAGACAAAAGGTCGAAAGACAAAAGGTCGAAAGACAAAAGGTCGAAAGACAAAAGGTCGAAAGACAAAAGGTCCAAAGACAAAAGGTTGAAAGACAAAAGGTCGGACAATTGTCGAAAGACAAAAGGTCGAAAGACAAAAGGTCGAAAGACAAAAGGTCGAAAGACAAAAGGTTGAAAGAAAAAAATGTTGAAAAACAAAAGCTCGAAAGACAAAAGGTCTAAAAACAAAAAATCGAAGGACAGAAGGTAGAAAGGACAAAAGGTCGCAAGGGACAAAAGGTCGAAAGGGACAAAAGGTCGAAAGGGACAAAAGGTCGAAAGGGACAAAAGGTCGAAAGGGACAAAAGGTCGAAAGGGACAAAAGGTCGAAAGGGGAAAAAGGTCGAAAGGACAGAAGGTCAAAAGGACAAATGGTCGAAAGGCTTAAGGCTGATGTAAATATTCTGAAATTGATTCATCCAAATTCTCAAAAGTATAATAGGATTTTATACTATTTCCCCTTCTTTGATAGCTGGTAGTTCGTTTAAATTTGGTTTTTGTTAATTTTGTTGTAAAGTTGAATGATATAATTATAATTACTATCTATTCAAAATACCCTTCCTAGAATGTTTAATCGTGATAAATTTTTGAGATACTGAGATGAAAAGTTGTATTTAAGGTTTTGAGTTTTAAAACTGTACATATCAAACTTTGGAAAACTTGTCAGTTTTAGGATTTGAAACATTTTTAAGAAATCTGAATTTTATATTTTTATTAGAATTTTTCTGTTTTTGAACATGATCAGTTCTTTCGAAAAATTTCGAACGACTATGTGGAGATATTAGAAACTCATATTTTTAAGAGGTTTTTCCATATTTTATACATGACCAGTGCTATAATGTACAAAATATCAATACAATTAACTTTTCTTTAAATTACACTTATTCTAAAAAACAATTTTGGGATTTCAACCATTTGTCCTCAATCTATAACAAAAAGTTGAAACACAAAAAGGTCGCATGGAAAAAGGTCGAAGTGACAAAAAAGTTGAAGGACACAAGGTCAAATGGACAAAAGGTCAGAGGGTCAAAAGATCGAATATTAAAAAGGTGGAATGTACAAAAGGTTGGAATGGACAAAAATTCCATCAAAGTTGAATTCGGCCATTCGTCGTTTCGATCTTTTGTCTATTCCGACCTTTTGTTCATTCGATCATTTGTTTCTTTAATTTAAATTTAACCTCTTGTCCATTCGACCTTTTGTCCGTTCGAAATTTTTGCTCCGGTAGGTATTTTTTATTATTATCAGGGCTTAACATTATTTTTGCTTTAAACAAAAGTATTAAAAGTGGTTGGACCTTGCTTAGCTGACATTGGGACTAAGATACACAGATGAGTGTTTGGGCAAGAAAACTGACCGAAATAGCAAAACTCAAAAAGCTGCACTATGTGGCAACCATTTTGGTTTCCTTTGTTTTGTTTTCATCCCGTTGTCAGCTGTCAAAGTTCTGCTGTTAGTTGCATGTCAAAATTTTGTTTGAAAATATGGAAAGTTGTCTCAAAAGGTTTTTGAATTTTGAGCTAACCATCAACCTGAATTAAAATTGATCTTCAAAGTATGTAAAATATGTTGAACTCAAGAAGCAATGAATTCCAAACCGCAAACATAATATTTATCGTGGTAAAAGCAAGTCACTATTTTTTCTCATGTGTTTATGTTTGAAAGGTATTTTTCATGGTATTTTTGTTAATGTTCCGGGCATTGCCGGGCAGAATGTTGGATACTGTTGGTTAGATGAGGGTTCTAACAAATGATCTACGTCGGCAAATTTTGTGACATTTTACGAATTTACGATATATTGGTATTTTTTGCCTAGGTATATGTTTCATTTTGCATATGCTCATTATTTTATTTAGAGTCGTATTTGAGTACATTAAGAGTATTTTCATAATCGTTCATTTGTAGTTTTGGCCACCTTTTGGTTCAAATACTCCTATTGAAGATCCACGAGTTAAGTCGTCTCCCTGGCGTCGGTTATTGGCACTCGCTTTCGGAAATGAGATCGACGGGAAAGAAACAATAATAAAAAACAAAAACAAAATAATGTTAAAAGAATGATTTAATCTTTCGGTACACGTACGATAAAAGCAAAGCAAAATCGAGTTAGCTATGAGTAAAGTGCATACGTACTGTACATGAAAAAATATTTGTTTTCGGACTACGTTTGTGTATAGATATATGGTGTTCTTGCATGTCTTCAGTGGCCGTTGTCAAAAGCCGGCATTCCAGCATCCGGTTGCTCCGCTAGTGAATGGGAAGATCGTTGTCGCACCCAAAAACGAAGAAGACAAAAGCAGAGCGACTGCCTGTTACCAGCGCTACCTCGGTGCAGGCACGTCACTGATGGCATGCAAAGCTAACCCTTTTGTGCTATCAACAGCCGATGATGACGGTGATGATGCTTCGCGGAGCTTGCAGCTACTAAAGGCTTTCATCTTCTACAGGCATTATGTTATTTATTTATGTTTCATGTCGAGCGAAGCAGATGCATTTAAATACACTTACTACAATGGATGCTTGCCTACTTCTTCCCTTGTTGTTGCTACCATATCATAGGACGATATGCTATAAAGAGAACGTGGAAGAGTATAATCTCCACGGGTGGGTACATCCGCGAGCATCAGTAGAACAGCTTTTAAATAGTGTTTGATGAAGTTTACATGTTGCAAAATGATTATTTTGTCGTTCTTTTAAGTTTAAATTCTCGAAGGAACTCGCCCAATGAGATCTGATTTCAGTTTGATGGTATGATAGATAGTTGAGGGTCCTTTCTAACCTGATTAAAAATTCATGTAATTTTCTGCGATATACAGTTCATAATCGACTATCGCAACCTAACTAGATTATTCGTAATTTTAAACTTGGTTCATATCTTCTATTCAATGTTCTTTAGATTGCAGTGATTAATTGGTCGATTTTGATTCATAAAGAGGTGTGCCTGTTATGGGTGCTCTCGCTCTTCGAAGGGTATAAATAGCAATAAAGGCAATTATGACTATTTTATCAAAATCAAATTCATCGTCATTTCTAAATAGTGACAGCGTAATGCGACATACATTAAACTAACGAAGGACAGTGGATTTATGCCCCAACTCTGAAAAATTAGGAACAAGTAGTGTAATTCATATCAAGCTGCATAAATAAATTTGGGTTCATGGTCAGTACATTTCAATCGATCGCCATTATTAAATTAATTTGCATACAATCGACATACCTAATTGATCCTAATGAATTGTGATAATTACTATATTCTTTGAACGGATAACCTCCCTCATACCACCCTTAAACTTACTTCATAATAAATTCTGTTTGGATCATGACCAAACAGAATTTACGATGAAATTCAGACGTCTTTATCTTACGAATTCGTATGCATTGTTTTTAGTTTTTCTCCAGAAGTTGAATAGTGTTGACCAAAAACAAAACCAAGAATCACAAGCATAAAAAATGGTTCACGGAAGCCCGTTTGAAGATTTCCAACGAATTCTCTACTGGCAGCACATTACTCTCAAGTTGCTTGGTTGTGACGTTTTTAAACCGAATTTTCATCGCTCTGCAGTCACTTATTTTATCATATTCTTGGCTGGATTTTACATGGTGATATCCTTCATCGATTTGTATCTTTTCAATGATAACATATTCAATTTCATATTTGTGCTCGTTACGTTTTCCTACGGTGTGATTGGTTGTGGACGGCTAGGATTCTTGATTTCTCAAGCGACTACTGCTGCTAAGCTTGTGTCTGAAGCAAAGCAAACCTACAAGAACACTACCAGTGATAAACTTGAGCAAGAGATTCTCTTAAAATACACGAAGCTGCTAAAGCGATGCGTTTTGTTTTTCAGCATCATATTTTTGGGTGGAGTTTTAATGTGTGGGTTTTTGCCATTGATGGTTTTCTTACTGAATGGTGAAAAAATTCTCCCTTTTGGAGTGATAATCCCATTAACAAATCCAAACACGGATGACGGTTATCAGTTGAACTTTCTTTACCAGGTTAGTTGCATGTTCTGGACACCACCTGGACTGACCGCTTCCCAGAATGTGTACTTTGCATTGGTATTCAATATCTGTATTCAGTATGACTTATTGGTATTGAAGTTACAAGTTTTGGATGAAATGATTGCAAGAAATGAAAAAGGAGAGCTTGACATGCAAGTGCGAGAAACATTGGTTGAGATAGTACAAAATCAGCAACGACTAGCAGATTTTATCACAACAATTGAAAACCTATACGCAACACAAACGTTTGTGGAAGTCGGTAGCAATGCCATGCAGATTGTCGTAACACTATTTGTCCTTCATATTGTACGCTAACCGTGATAGTTTACTGTAATTTATTAACCATGATTTCTCTCGTAATCAGGATGTGTGGTTGCCTGGATATATGATTATCTTGATAGCTTCTTTCCAACTGTTCCTGTCATGTTTACTGGGAACGTTGATTGATGTCAAAAATCAATTATTCACAGAGAAAATATACAACATATCATGGCACGGAATGAAAAACGCGGACCAGAAAACCCTGAAATTCATGCTGGCTCAGTCGCAACGACCATTACAATTGTCTTGTGGAAGAATGACAACTCTTAATATGAATTTGTTCTTGGCGGTAAGTAATCTAGATTGTACACTTTCTTCTTCTTTTTATGATCAAAGTATGTTTAATTTTAGGTGTACAAAAAAATTTACTCGATTTTCATGATGCTACAAAACATTTAATTTTTTTATTTCTACATTGATAAATATATTAACCACTGCAAATCAAGTTCTCTGACATGGCACAATTCAACACTGGAAGACACAGCGCAGCATCTACACCTCCTCTGAAATCATTGTGAGAAAGACAACTTCGAATGGACACTTGACATCAGCTTGTCAAAAGGCGATCATTTATTTTCATTCCGACTGACAACAACACATCAGTTCTGTTCCCTGGGATGCATCAGTGTCAAGCGTTAAATAAACTGCAGTTAAGCAAACATGCGTTGGCGAGACGACCAAATAAATAAGCAATTTCTTTTGTTTTGGTCATCCAGCTAAACAAAATCCCCGTCAATGACAACTCGTCGGTGTGTGATTTGCTCTCGCAGATTGACAGCAATTTTTGATAAAGTGGTTCATTGGTCATGTATGTAGCTGGTTAGATGTAACGTGCGACATGAATGCTTGAAATACAGGACAGAATAGTTCAAATACTCCCGCTATAATTATGGGTCTCTTTCTATTTTTTTAATCAAACATGTGCTGGAAAATAAAAAGGTTGTCTCCAAGTAAAAATGGTATGGAAGTAGTTTTCCTTCTTTGCGAAATATTTTTTTAAAGTAACTATCAAAATGCCATCGTACTTCGCAATCAACTTACCAACTTCTGCCTCCCACGTAAATACGTATATTAAGTGTTAAAACATATAAATTTCCACCCGTTAAACAGACCATATTCATCGATAAAAGCTAGTTTCCCAAAATTATGAATCAATCGGTTCCGATGTGACTATTGAAATACTTGAGCATGGAACCAAATAGTGAAACCAGAGATGCAAGTTTTTTTTTTAGCAGCCTGCGAAAAATGTCTGTGAATTTCAGAGATGTCTGTAATTGGGCTTCATAAAATTAGCAGAAGTTTTGCGTGTGATGAAGGGGGGGGGGGGGGGGGGGGAGGGAGTTGTCATGAAATAGATGCAAAATTTGAAATGTATGTAAAAGTTATATTCGATCAAAAATGACCTGCTTTAACAAATTGAACCTAATGGGAATTGGGAATGTATCTTTTTACGCCGTATACGTTAAAAGCAATTAATAAAAAGATAAATTATGATTACACGACAAATAAGGTCAACTCAAAGTTGAGATTAGTTCACTCATATTCTTGAAAACGTAGTTAACTCATAGACTGAGTAAAATTTACCGAGCCTTTACTGAATTTTTTTTTTAATATAAGCAGCATCTCGATGTACATATGAAATTAGCAGACCGAATTTTTTTTCCATGTAATCTATTGGGAATGCACATCATATTTTTCCATTAACAAAACCAGTTATATCTATCTGAATTTCACACAAAATTCATGTGATCACATGAGTTCTATATGATAAATCACTTAAATTTCTTTTGACACATAAGGTTCATGTGATTTTGTGGTGCAATTCCCAATATGACATGAAAGTTATGTGAAATACTAATGACTATTTTTCATTGGATATGTAATTTATTCTTTGAGTATGTACTTCTAAAATGAATAAATTTTTCGTCGATTTTTGTCATATTCGAAAGATACATGAGACTCGGAAAATTTTACGCATTCTACAAGTAAACTACGTTTTCTAGAGTTTGAGTAATTTAAGCTTAAATTTGAGTCCAATTCATATGCCATGTAGTGTGGAAATCCGTTAGTTACTTAGTACTGGTTCTTTTGCACGCCAGCAGCGGGGAACGAGCACATCTTAGTGAGAGATTCAACTTTTCACCACCTAAATATTGAGAAATCGACAATCAAAAGTGCAATTTATAAGCTTCCCAACAAACAATTCAGAGACACAAATAAGCCTATATATTGAAGAAATGCTTTATTACAGTGTACAATGCTGAATAAAACAAGTTATGAATTATGTGGTGAAAAAAGTTCATTGAAATCGATAGATGCGCCTTTATTCCGCTGTTTGCTCTGATATGATTAATTGACTTATTAAAAGCTGTATAAACTTTGACTGTCTTCCCAATCAAACGCTAGAAGTTTGATCTAATGACAAACTGCATAAGTGTAATTATCACATACATCGATAGTTTAATTCGACTGTTTTCAATTGATTTAATAACATGCTTTATTAGACGTCTAATAAATCTTCTCTAGTTCGATTATAAGATTTCATTGCATTGCTTTGCAATATTGCTGAACAAAGGCACATAACATATCAAGACCAACAATTGAAATAGCCTTAATTCCATTTTGTTAACAAACCTTGTAAGGTCATTTTCTCGCGAACCGAAACCTTCATTCGTAAACCTAAACCACAATCTGGTAGAGGAGAATTTCCCCTACCTGTGCATTATGTTGGTTTGCCTTTGCGGACTTCGGTTCGCGAGAAAATGGCCTTACAAGGTTTGTTTACAAAATGGAGTTAAGGAAATTTCACTTGTGGGTCTTGATATGTGGAACTGCATGCAAAATAACTTTCTTAAAGTTGACCCCTTTTTTGTGTTGCCTCAGTGGTATCGATCTGTCAAAACAAAATTTTTTGGGGTATCGACACTGTGCGTTCATAAGGACCAATGTCGAAAACGTAAGCAATGGCTTCTTTCGTATATTTCTTGTAGTTCAAAGTCATAATATGTAAGCCATCAATTCCATCGGATAGGGGGAGTCTCCCTCTACACAGTTTACGTTTGGTTGACTTGAGTAGTTTTTCATTCTCGGGAAATTCGCAGAAAAAGTTTACGTTTGCGACATTAGCTCTTATGAAAGAAAAGCAGATATATGGTTGCATGCTCAGTAAGGATTGACGTTGACGACGACCCTGCAATTCTTTACTCCTCGGTAAAATCCCATATGCATCTAAAAATATGTGCATGAGATCTAGCGGACTTTGTCTTATCTCTTCACTCCACCATAGAACCAGCGAGCCACCATCTCTTCACACAAAGCTTGATAGTATCTTATGCGATTTTCATAGGAGTGAAAAGGTAAGGAAATGTTCACCAGGTTTCACGCACAGACTGACGATTGCGGATAGGATTTTACCATAAAGCTTGGTTTAGACTAGGCAAGTCAAATGATCAACTCAGTTGAATTCAATTGGCTTGAAAAGTTGAGCCTGGTTCAACTTTTTTCAATTCAAGTGAGTTGATCAAGTCGGTTGAATGGCATGGTTTACACGTTCAATTAGCGTTCAAGTCAGTTGAATTCAAAAAGATTTATCTGTTTATTACTATCATTTATGACGATTGACTTACTCTGATTAATTATCTAGAGAAGTACATACGAACTTTTCAATTGATCAAAAAATGCAATTGTGGTAAACAATTTTAGAAACAAATTTCAGGCGAAAAAACTGATTTTTTGCAAAAACAAGTCCCATTTGCGTAAAATTCAAAAATTTTTCATCTCCATATGTACTTCTCTAGGTATCTATATATATAAAAATGAATTTCTGTCTGTCTGTCTGTCTGTCTGTCTGACCCTTATAGACTCGGAAACTACTGAACCGATTGGCGTGAAAATTTGTATACAGGGGTTTTTGGGGCCGTGGAAGGTTCTTATGATGGTTCGAGACCCCTCCCCCTTCTGTAAGGGGGGGCTCCCATACAAATGAAACAGAAATTTCTGCATAACTCGAGAACTAATCAAGCAAATGGAACCAAATTAGGCATGTGGGGGCGAGTGTGAGGGTATAAGGAGATAATCATAGGGGGTAGCCCCTTAGATAATAGGGGGGGGGGGGCTACGTACAATATATCATGCTTTTTTTTTAAATCGGCGCATAAACTCAAGCTAATATTGAATCCCGAGCAAGACCGGGCACACTCAGCTAGTTCTTATATAAAATAAGAAAAACCACTCGTTTTTGTTCTAGGTTCATATTTACGACGAAGAAAGTGTGGGCCGCGTAACACTACACGGGAAGCAGTGCCAGGAACTCGCAGTGCTGCCAACTGCCACACATGGTTTGCCCTTATAAAAAAATACTGTAAGCACCCCTAATTATGTGTACTATAAGCCCATATAAGTTAATTTAGTATGTGACTTTATTAAATAACAACGGCGCCGGTGGTGTAGTGGTAAGCGTGATTACCTCTCACCCCAGCAGGCCTGGGTTCAATACCAGTCGGCAACGCCGGGATGTTCTGAGGCATAACATCTATGATCATTGTCGGAGACGAGCCAGCCAACGGCTGAAAGTCTCCTTAATAAAAATATAAAAAAAAAAAATCTCTGATCACGCCTTCCTTCGGATGGGAAGTAAAGCCGTTGGTCCCCGGTTCATGAGATGATGGGTCGATAGGTAGGGTCCAGGTGTGGGAGCTGCCTTCCTGGCACGTCGGTAGCATTGGTGCTCAGCACGGAAAACAAGATCGACGGAAAAAACAAACCAAAGGAAAAAAAAAAATTTATTAAATAACAAAAAAAAAAATTAATGAAGTTGGTGCATTTTTCTGTATTTTAGGGTGGCGTAACCCCTTAATAAATGTATAATAATGTGTAATTAAACTTTACTTCACACGATAATCAAGCGTATTCAGAGCATCACTGTTTTAAGTTTTAAGTGATGTCTAATAAACGCTGAGTAATCAAAAATGTTATCGAATAAGCTCTGTTACAACTCATATCACGAATGGAAGTCGAATAAAAGCTTCTCGACATTCCTTATACAACACCAAGTAGTTCAATGTTGTGGTTGAATAAATTCTCCAGATTTGTGTGAACAAAGCCTGAACAGAAAATATTATTTAAAATAATACAAGTATTATTAAGCACGCAGTTGAATAAAATCGTCAAGAAGTCGTTTCATCAATAGATGATTGTTTGTTGGGTTATTAATACGATTCTAAACAGTTCGTGCTCAAAAAGTTCATGTTCAAACTCTGGAAGCAACGATATTGATGGCCAAACGTGACCAAGCCCAAGACCAAACGATAGGTGCCATCGATGCTGATATTCACCGGATGCCTGAGATTGAGGAAGTCTGTTGAGGTAGCGATGAAAATTAGTAATGACCTTGGAGATAT